AGAGCACTAAAAGCATCGAGAGCTTACTGGGAGACAAGTGGGAGACAGGAACACAAGCCCAGAGACAAACTCAAAATCATCCGGCCCGAGCACGCACCCCTTTAAAAGGAGTAAGAACCCCTCACAGGTAAACCTGTTTGGGGAAAAATAAACAAAAAATAAACAAAAAAGAAACAGAAAAGAAACAAAAAAGAAACAAAAAATTCACAAACAAGAAACAAAAAAGAAACAAAAAATAAACAAACAATAAACAAAAACAACACAGCTCGAAATGGAGGGAAGGACGGTCTTTGACCGGGTTTTCTGTTTTGTATTCATTTTGTTTTTTATCTTTTTAATGATTTCCAGTCTTTGATGGGTCTTGATCATCATAACTCTAAGCAGTCATTGTTCAACGTGGCGGCGTCTAACCCAAGCCTCACTTCGCATCGCATTGCGTGCGGTCTCATTCGTGGGATACCAAAGCACGATGTCGTCATCTACACATCGAAGCAGGAAATGCTGGAGCTCATCTCCCGCAAGTACCCGCTTCTTGATTTGGATGACGGCGGCTGGGCCCACAATGAGCGTGCGAAGGGACTCAAGAAAAGCGGGAAGAAGCTTGATCGTACGAACCACAGCCGCAAAATCGACAGGAAGAAGAATAAACGCACTCATAAGGGTGGCGGAGGCGGCCGCAATGTCAAGATGACGGCTGACAACTACGAACGCTTCGAGCAGGTCGTTCAAGACCTAAAGCTCCCTGTTGATCGCATCAACAAGCTTTGGGCAAAGCTGATGCAGCTTGAAGTTGAGCGTCAGCATGCTCTTGCTACCGGTGCCACCATCCAAGAAGCAAATGACCGCATTGAAGCGGTTTTGGCTGCCTTGGAGAAGCGTGTCGACGAGGAGCGCTCTAAGGGCAATCTGCGCTCGACATTGGGCGCGCGTTTGCAACGTCGACGATGGGCGGACATCATGGACGACATTGGAAGCTCAAGACACACCAGCAGTTTCACCTGAGGTTCTTTTGATCAACATGTTTCAGGTCTGGCAGGCTTGGGTGAACATGTATTCATTACT